AAGTCATAGCCTGGGTAGCAGGTGTGGAGGACTCAGTACAAATGAGCTTGGCCATCGTGAAGGGGTGTTAACATTACTTTACATTCCTCCTAGGATGCTTTATCCATAACATTTTACTCATGTGACATCAGGTTTAGAAGTGGATGCCCTCTCTACACAAATGATCGTTGAGATTTATTTCCCAAGCCTCTCGGGTACATAGAATGAGAGGGCAGCAGTCCCATCCTCTTGAACTGAACACCTAGATTGGAGAGGACAGAGGAGTTATAATATCATTGCATGTTGTTGCCATATAGAATTTCTCGGCTTTTTTCTCTAGCACCAGCAGATGATTCATTGTCTTTGCTGGCTTTCAACTCGAATCTGTGCCCCACTTTCAGTAACAAAATGGCCACCTCCTCTGGCAAAACTAGGGTTTAGTGGGGAAAGGGAAGGGTTAGTGTACGATTGCTGGGGATACCAAGCTATCCTGGTAGACTCATTTGGCTTTGCCTTTTACTGGATTTCCAAGGATTCAGTGATTAAGAACAGTGAGAGTTAGAATCAGAAGATCTGTGAATTTGTCCTAGTTAACAACAATAAACCACTTCATAAATCTACATACCTTCATATATTCCACTTGGTTTTATTCACTAAAGTTAATGTAGCTGCTTACATGAATATTTGCTAACGTCTTGCCAAATATCAGGTGGTTTGATCCACAGGAAATATACATGTAATTTTATAAGATTTTCAAATTTATGCTAGGTGTCCTGGTAAAACTATAGAGTATATCTAGTTTCTTGAGGGAAAGATGTAACTGAAATGAAAACCAATATTAGCAGTAACAGTAAAGTGAATCAATTCCCTTTTACTAGCTAACTTAACAGATATTGTTTATTTTATTAATATTATCCCACCATCCAAATAATTTTGTGAGTATATATTGTATATAAAAACTAGGAATCCTTTCAGAATAGCATGGTCTGCCACTTCAAGGAGCGTACTATCTATTTGAGAGAGGCAGCAAACACAGGTAAAAAGCTGAAGATGGTAAAATAATTTTTAAACATGTAGACATATATGTAACAACTGAGGTCATAGCCTTTATACAAAGCAGGTGAATGAGCTCAGTTTGGATTTTTAATTGAGTTCTGAAAGCTATAAAGGATGAAAATTGGTGATGAAGGGGAAATAAAAAGAAAACTGGAAATAAAGGGAGGGGGTAGCTATTTAAGTTTGATTCTTTGGGATGGAGTCAGCAGTTCCAACAGTTTATTTGGGAGCAACATCTGTGAAAGGAAAAGGAAGGCAGCAGGATTGGGCAGGGGCACCGTCAGACCAGGATGCAAGCCTGTCAGAGTTTCCTGTCAGGTTTGGGAAGCTCCTGAACAGAGTTGTATCGGGCAGAAATAGCTCGTTCTTAAAGGGTTTCTGAGCAGGGCATTTCCACCTCTGCCACAAAGGCTTTCTACTTTACGGAGAATGACATGGACACAGACACCAAGCAAGTTGTGTAGAGGAGATAGCAGATGAGTAAACTTAACCTCATGTGAACTCGACTTTGCCATGTTGTTAGATATTCTGAAGATGCGTGATGTTAGAATGTATTTCTGTATCACAAGCCATACAACGGTTGCCTAGAATTATTGTGTTACATGAGCCATAGAGTTTTTATGTGCTAGAAAAGAGTACATCATTTGGGCTCCCTTGCCCATTTTAAGATTTTGCTTTTTTATTTTTATTATTATATTTGTTTATTATTGACTTTCTTACATTTTCACATTGAGGCTCTGGAGAAAAATCAGCAATGGCTTGTGTATGATCAGCAGCGGGAGGTCTACGTAAAAGGACTTTTAGCAAAGATCTATGAATTGGAACAGAAATCAGAAACAGCTGCTCATTCGCTCTCACAGCAGACAAAAAAGACTGAATCAGAAGGTACTGGTATAAAAATACTCTTTGGGGGTAGGTCTGCCTGACATTTTCCAAAAGGAGAAATTGCTCAAATTTAGATTTTTGTAGATATGCGTTAGGAAGTGAAATAAGAGCCAGTCTTCTAGCCTTGAAGAAATACCATTTGAGCAAGTTTGTTCTATTTCCCATTGTTTTTTGATAAGAGAGCATAAGGTACAGGGTACAAGGGCTCTCTGGCAATTCTGAACGAAGGCACAGTACAGGGATTTTCTCCACCGTACATGTCCTCCCCCTCCTTCAAAGCCCTTCTCTAACCTTATTCCCCCCAGAGCCGGCACCGTCACCAATTTTCATTTTACTCTGTTTCCGTTCAGCATTTATTCTTGAATCCCAGTCATTCTTGTAGATGATTTTTCAGTCATTTGAATCTCACCATAGAATTGAAGTTTCATAGGAATGAGGCTGGGTTTTTTTCTTTTTGTTTTTGTTTTGCCACGAGCTTTCTTTACAATATCCCCAACACTGGTCTCAGTTGAGTCTCACAAGAACCTTAAGAGGTGGGGCAGAAGGGTCATCATTCCCACTTTATGGATGAGCTCGGTTCAG